CAAGGAAGCACTTGAAGGGGACGGGAATGATGCGGACACGGCGAGAAGGCTCAAGAATGCAGCGAGTCGCGCGTGGCATGCGCGAAGGAGGCTAAGTCGTCGTGCCGGAGATGCGCGATACGCGGATGGGCAAGCGCGCGCAGAAGATGATGCGCTCGATATTATCGGGGCCGAGCGCGGGGCTGAAAGCGCAGGCAACGGGGTGCATGCACGAACTTGCCTAGGCGCGCGAGGATTAGGCGAGCTACTGGATGCATGCGCGGGAATGGAAGATGAAGCCCTAGTCCTTGGGCAATTAGGCAACGCGGATGCGAGCAATGGCGGCTTGAGTCGCAAGCAAGAGATATTCTAGATATTTATTTCCTTGTTTTCTAGTTTGTTTAGGACACCTAATATTTTATTGCTTTATTAGAGTTATAGTTATATTAGGACTAGATCTAGTTGATGCCTATATAAAGGCCCTTCCTCTTGTTAATTATATCATTAATTCTTCTTAATACAAAAAAACTGAACTTTGTTCAAACTCTTTGCTCTAGTTTTCTTCTTGAATTCTTTTGCAACTATAATCGTTAGAAAGGCTGCGAGTGTGAGACTTCCTAACACCTATATAACGATTTAAGGCGCGGGAGCGGCTTGTCGGCAATCGAGACACACGGTCTTCATCACTGCGCCCGCGCGTGCTGCCAACGCGCTGCTGCCCTGCGCGTGTGCGCACGCTGCTGCCCTGTGATACGGAAGTGGTCATCAACCCAGGCGAGTCTGAAGATGAGGATGGCGACGACCTCAACATATGGCTGGAAAACATGCAAGAGGAGCCATCAAGCCCGATATGTCGACTTTCATGCAAAAGGGACTGGCCGAAAGGATGTGGTCCACAGTCCAAGCTAAAGCCTAAAAAGCGCAAGACCAAGCGAGCCCAAAGGAAACGCAAGGCAAAGGCTAAAGAGGGAAGTTGTTGGTTTAAGCCTTGTGCAAGGAAAAGGCGAGCATGGAAGATGGAGGCTCGAAGGAGAGGTAGGCAAAGGGTAGAGGACGGTTGGGTATGGCGTGCAGGAGATTATGCTAGGTTGGAAGGTTGGGACCCATGGCCATCGGGCGAGCAGTCAAAGTCGATCAGCGACGGAGGTGCGAGCACAAGTAAGGAACGCGCATCGTGTCTTGATGCGCGCAAATGGTCAAACGAGCAGGACAGTGTACGAGGGTGCACGATAGGCGGGCAAGCCGCGGGCGCACATGCGCAGGAGACGAACGACGAGGACGGGGCGTGCGCAGTGGCGCGCGAGTGGAGCAACGCGGGCGGAAGCCTACACCTCGTAGGATTAGGCTTGACCCTACAAGGAATAGGAATGGCGCATGTGGGGCGCGAGGCCTTAAGCCTCGAGGCGAGAGGACATGCACGCATGGGCAGACGAGACGCGTGGACGAGGTGCGCGCGCGTGATGAAGATCGTGTGTCTCGACTGTCGAGAAGCTGCTCCCGTGCCTTAAATCGCTCGATAGGTGTTAGGAAGTCGCACACTCGCAGCCTTTCTAACGAATATAATTGCAATAGGATTTTGGTGAAAAAACTAAAGCAAAGAGAGAATGAACAAAAGTTCTTGATTTCTATTAATTCTTAGATGATTCCAAATAACATAGGGGACATGGGTATTTATAGGAGAAAAATAAATCTAATTCTAATCTAACTAGATCTCCTAAGCTGTGCAGTAAATAATCCCTATTCCAACTA